TATGCTATCAAATATTAAAAAATAAAAAAATTATAAATCTCACTTACTATAAATCTTTTTTCCTTTTCATTTTTTTATATTTAAATAATTTATAATTAAATAGTGAAGTGAATATTCAATTTAAGATAAGAAAATATATGACATAATTTTTCTAGAAATTTATTCTAGTCGATTTTTTTAAATAGAGTTGCTTTTTATTTCTCTTAGATGATTTTATTATTTTTTTCTTTAAATATTTAAATATTTATTATTGTTTTTTATCAGTTTTGTAATTTTGTAATTTTTGATTTCAATGTTCAAAAATAATAATAGTTAAAAAGTAATTATATTATAAAGAATTTATTATTTTATATAAAAATTATAAAAATTTGTTATGACTTCTTCTTAATCAAATATAAATTAGATCACTATAAGTAATTTCATTTTAAAAATATAATTTCAAATAAAAATAAAAAAAAAATAATATCTATAAAATGTAAATTTTTGTAGTATATTATTTTCAATTTTAAAAAATTTTAAAAGATTATGCAATTTAAAAGATATTATAATAAAAAAAAAAATAATTTTTTAATGCGTTAGAAAAATATAATAAATTTAGTAAATATTTAATAATATCAATTATATTATTTAATTTTTGTTATTATTGCTAAATAGCTATTGCTATAATAAAAAAACTGCAATTTTTTAATAATAATTTGTTTGTAGAAATTCTATATTTTCTATTTAATCTTTTTCTAACTCTTTAATAAATTACTAACTAAATTTTTCTTATAATAAATCATTTTAGTATTTATAACTGAATTTTTTAAACGATATTACATTGAGATGACTTAATTTATTTGAAATAATGTGCAATAAGTTAAAAAAAAATATTGCCAAATGTTAGTTGCGAGAACTTACAAAAGAAGTTAATGCATCAATGCAACAATCGATAGATATACTTATTATAACATTAATGGAGTCATAGGACAAGTTCTTTATATAATAACCTGTACAATGACAAGATACCTGTAAAATGACAAGATTTAATACGATATAATATCAAAGACTATATTCATAGTATTAATATATAAGTTTAGTTTTTTAACTAGGAGATAAATAAGATAAAATATATTTTATATGATCGAGTTTTTAGATTATTTTTAATTCTATCATTAAAATTTCTTTAAAATGTATGAATATATGAATTTTCATATAAAATCATATGATCAATCATATTACATAAAATCTATTCTTTAGAATAGTTATAAATTTACGTAAATAATTTTTTATTAATCTGAAAAATCTAATGATATTGTATTTGAACATTGAAACTATTTTCATAGGATCGCAGTAGATCGCATGTTAACATAAATTATTCGTTAGCATATGTGTCCCCTGAGAATGAAAGAATAAAATTCATTATATGTACAAGCATTTTTGTCGAATAATATTAACTTGTATGTATCACATTTTCATAGAATTATTTGAAATTGTGAAATTTGTTAATGAATCATTAATATTGTAATATGTACGATAATTTTATCGAAAAAATGGATTTGTTTGTCTTATTGCTTTTTCTTGGTTAGATTATACTCACGGTTTCGGCATAGTTGAGAACTTAGCCAACGCAATGATAATTGCTTTTATTTTCGAATTATCTTGTTTTACTTATTCTTTTATTTATCTCGATTCTTTTTTTACTTTTCTTTCATTGTTACAATTGAGATTGATGAGACAACAGCTTTTATTAAAATAAAAAACTATCGTGTTATAAATAATGATCACATGACACATATATACATTGCAATTTATATTTTATATATATATATATTTTATATATATATATATATATATATATATATCCTTTGATTATGTTTATATATGTTTATTATATTTATATTATATGAATATATTATAATACTCAATTCTGTTTATATTGCTAGATGCTTCGATATATTTTATAGTATATTTTGAAATGTACTATGTACTTATAATTATTATAATTAATATTAATAAAAAAACCGTTATATTTTTGTATTTCTTGCAATCTATATTTATTTATATTATACTTTATTGAAATATATATATTCAAATATACACATAATTTGATAAAATCTATTGCGCGAAGAGCAAAATAAATCGAGACAAGTTTTGTAAGGAACATGCGCGCGTATCTGCGTAACCGTCACGCGATAAACTTGTGCACGTCTAATCCTTCATTCACTGCAGCTGCAACGATGACATGTTGTTGAATCGCGTTTAAATCCCCTGATCAAATCACGAACTAATCGTTTTCCAAAAATATCGTCGAAAATGTGAACAAACGCATATTCATTATTCTGTAATAGCAGGGTGATCGTATAATCTTGTTCGATTTTTTGTTCGTGAATTGAGGAGAGAATCGTCAGCCGATAAAGAAGAGAACAAAGTTGAGCATTCCTTCCGTTCATTTTCAATCGTGAATCATGCGAAAGGAATTCAATTTTTTTCTGCAACAAAAAATTTTTTTCATAATTAGTGAATTGATTCTTCCTCCCTCTGTTCCATTTCGCTTAACGTGATGATATCTACTAGATGTGAAAATGAAATTAGAATAGAATGATGTATTTATTTACATATGGAATAGGCATTCGAAAAACAATAAAATACACGATTTTTGTGTTTATATTATAATTCAATTGACATCGTTATCGATTGTTTGATCTACATATATGCAATTTTTTATAATTTTTAGTATGATTTCACCAATTCCCAATCATTAATCAATAATATATTTAACTTCTAATTGTTGGAAAAATATAATACCTAATAATATCTAATAATACCATGAATTTTCATTTTTCTTTTATTAAGATGAATATTAATTTCGATAATTTTCATAGTTCGCAAATTATTGACTTTTGAACCAATCAAATCGAAGAAATAATAATCTTCATTTAAATGAACTTCATTTTGTTATTTAATTTGGTATTTTTTATCAGATTTTATCTTTTTTTTACATTTGACATTTAATTTAATGAACATATGATATTAAATTGGATGAAAAGTAAAAAATATATCGAATATTTTTATAGAAATTTTTATTGCATTATTATTATTAGAATAAATTTGAATAAAGAATAAATTAAAAAATAAATTAAATAAGAATAAATTATTATTATTAGAATAAATTATTATATATATCGAATTTTGTTTGTTTCATTATGTTAACGCTTTTTTTTTTAATTAAGGTATTTTTATTCGATATTTGTTTTTCTTAATATAATCAAAATAATGATTATTTGTAAAATTGTAATTGTTTAATTAAGATAATTAAGGTATAAGGTATAACTTTGATCGATAAGGTATAACTTTAAATGAAATCATTCTTTTCACTCAGCATTCAAACGAATATGCGAAGCAATTAAGTACACGAAAGTTGGATAAAATAATTTGTCGAAGAACAACCAGACAACCAGATAAAATAGTCACATTGAACTGTGGCCTGTCAACGCTCTTTACGACACTCGAGTGCCGCCAATTGATAAGCAGTCGGCGAAATTTCAGCTTACCCTGTTCTCAGAAGCATTCTTTTCACGATCCTTGGCAAGCATGCGTGCTAAAGTATCTTAGTTGCTGTAACTTATACATATATACTATGCTCAAATTGAACATCCGTAGAAGTTCGACCTTTAAGTTTAACCGATTACATTGTTTCAAGTAGTACTTGAAAAATATAACTTTTTAACTCAAAATATATTATACTCAAAAAATTCTTTTTTATACTCAAACAATATTTAAACCTTTTGAATAATTAAAAAATTATAAATAATGTGTAAAAATTTCTTATTTAAATATTATAAAAAAATTTTTGTACATACATTGTATATTTGTATATATTACATATAATATATATTTCAAAAATTATATTTATATATTTATAAAAATTTTTATATTTTTATATTTATTTTATTTGTTTTTTTTCATTATTTTTTTTATAAAAATATTAGTCAATGTATAGATTTTAAAAGATTTACTGTTCACTGACAAAAGTTAAAGAAAATAAAATAAAAGTTAAATATTATGTCAGAAAAAAAATATAATTCACGAGAAAAAATATCTATCTTTAAATATTGATTTTAGCATGTTATTTAGTTAAGTGTATCATATTATAATTATAAACTCTTAAAATTATTGAAATTGCGTTTTTGAAATTCTTCGAAACGAGGAGAAATTGCATGCTGCAATTGAGAACTTTCCGCGGCGCGTGCATTCGGTGCTTTTTAAATCGTATTTCGTCTATAAAATGAATTGGTTTGATTTTACATGGACTAATGTAAACGTGATATACATTAATTCTTGTAATTGAGATCCATATTTCATTTTCATAATGTGAAAAAAAAAAAAACACTATGCAAAAAAAAATGAAAACTAATTGATTTAGAAAAATTCAAGTTCCATCGGTTTATTTTTTTTGCAAGTATACTTATGCAAAACATGATCTTGTTCATTTTTCATTCGCAAGCATCTATATTTGTATTCCGGTTCAAATATAAATTACTTTTTTAATTAAGCTTCTTTATATAAATGTTTTCAGATAAAAAAATAATATGATATTTCACGGAAAATAAGTCTCAATATGATTATAAAGTATTCACTTATTTGCACATTATTGTACTGCATTATGTTTATCAAGTACTGAACACATTTAATATTTTTTTAATTCAGCATATTCTGTTATTTAGATAATACTAAAAAAAACCGATGTATAATGAAACTTTTATTCTTTTATATCTTTATATGTACAAGTTTATCAAATTAGCTGATTTATTATTTTCTATGTTATTTTTCTTAACATTTTTATTTGAAAGAAAGCTATAAGTTGTCCCAATTGTAAGAATGAATCAGCCTGTATTCGTATACGCGTGGCTGAGTTCACGCTACGTCCACCATGAGGCGCCAGCGCGTTTCCACCGCAACCGTTTAGCTCGTGAGTTGCACATCAGCCACTGTGTGAGGCGGATCGTTCTTTCTTTATTGATATCAGGAACTCGATTAATTGATATCAAAAACGTTGTCCGATCAAAATTATACTTTTTCCGTTATTGTTGTATTGAAAAATTAGTGATAAGAAAATTAATCATACAGTATTTTTAAAGCGCGAGAAGATTAAATATTAAAAATATTTAATTTCATCTGATTGTTATTATAAGTTATAATCAGAGTTTTATCAGTGTTAAGTGATAAAAAAAGATTTATTAAAAAATTTTGTTTAAAATTAATATTTTGCTTGTCATTCAAGCGAAAGAAAAAGTGAAATCCTAATCAGGATTTTAAATGTTTATTTACTAATCATGTATAACCTTCAATACACGTTAGTGGAATTATTGATTGTGGATCGATTGAAAGATATTTTTTTCAAAGAAATTGCATCTTTCGTTCAGGATCATTGAACTATTGAGATCTTCGATTTCATGTATCATTTCTTTCGACAAGAAATTACTATGACACGCGATCATTCTTGATCGCGTGTTGATTGGTTAACGATAAAATATATAATACTAATGTCATCCTTGAGATTGAACGATTATAGTGTCATATGCAACGTATGTTATCAGAACGTGTGGTTAGGTTGTTCCTGAAAGTATCACGATTCATGAAGTGAAGGGAGTCGAGTGCAACGAATTCCATTGGTTTCTGGAGTTTGGCAACGTAAACTCGGCATCAAGCATGATTTTCACTGGCAGGTCCGTGGACGCTCTCGACGAAGTTCGCGGTAATAACGTTCAGACAGAGAATCGTCGAGATGTTAGCGCCGTTGCTATAGCCGCAGGATGGTTCTCCAGTTTACGCAGACCCGGTAAAAGGAATAAGAAGGGCTACCAAAAGCAGGCCAAGAGCGCATGGGATCTTAGCACATTATCTATGGTTAGTTAAACGTTCTGTCTGGCTGCACCTACTTGAAACGGTTATTCGGCGGAATCGAATTCCTTCTTGAATATCGGTCTAACTTTTTTCCGAATTATTTATATGCTCTAAAACTATCTTCTTATTTTTGTTTTTGTCAATCTGGTTTAAGTATGTTTTTGGAATATATTAAAATTTATTTAAAAACTTTTTTAAATCTATTTAAAAATAAACTATTAAATAAACTATTATTTTCTTTTCTCATACATTCAAAAGATCGATATTTTAAAAGGCACGTATCTAAAAAATCATTTATTTATTCATGTGTTTTGTGTTTAAAATTAACTGTTTAAAAAAACGCGACTATTTTTGAATCGTAAATATCCGCTTTGATTGTCGAAGCATACCGAGATACGATTGTATTGTGAAACTTGATACATGTACAAAGTGCAGCCGAAATCATAGTTAGCAATGTCAACATTTTTTCTTCTTAACCTCCTTTTTCATTTATTTATTTATTTTGTTCAATGTGCGAATAGTTTCTATCTCTTAAATCTTAAATTCAATTGAAAAAAATAGAAATATCTTTATTTGAAATAATATAAATAATGTATAAATAATATATATATTAATAATAATATATATTAATATATAATATCTATATCTATTTTATATATACATAATATATATTATCTAAAAATATAAACTATAAAAAATGTTTGCAGGACATTGAGTTTATTTAAATAAATATTAGTTATTGTATTATTACATGAATAACTTCGATTCAATTGCGAGTTTATTAGCTCGTACCAACTTCAAGTAATTACAAAAAGTTACAATCGATTAGTATATTTCGACGATCGGTAATTGAAAAGCCGCCAAAAGGTACTTCCGAAATAAATCGTAGACGGTATTAAGAACAGAGAAACGATGTAAAATAAGAGTACGGTGGCGCTCTGAAATTGGCCGACCAGCCAAATTTATTTCTAGGGAGTTAACACCGGTAGATCCGATTCTATGATCTGAAATTTGTTTTTGTTATCCGTAAAAATAAATTTAATTGAATTTCATTGAATATAATGGAGTACTTTAAAAAAATATATTTTTTATAAAAAAAAAGAATATAAGAAAAATAAATGGGTTATAAATGATAATTAATAAATAATATAATAATTAGATAAGAATTTATATAAGAGAAATGGCATGTAAGAGAAATAGATACAAAATGCTTTTAAAATGCAAATAAAATATTAAATGGTATAATTATTAAACTTTAGTGCAAATATAATAATACCTTTAAAAGGAATAATACCTTTATTACAATTGAATAATAATTCATATGTATATCCATAAAAATTTTTGCAAAATTTTAATCGGAATATGAAAAATATATGTGATTATATTACTATTAGAAATTAGATAAAATTACGTTTACATAACTCTAACTTATCGCGTTCTGAATCAGTTTTCTTATTTTTGTAAAGTGCCAGTCTTTTATATAAATATAAAAAAATAAATAATAAAATCATAATTTTTATTTTGCATTTCGATATAATAAGAAATGTATAATTTGTGATTCACTAATGAAACGAAATATATAATGATAACTGATATGTACATAGAAAAATATATGTACAGATTGTTCATTGTTAAATAGACAGAATGATTTGAATCGACCGGTTTTTATGTCATCCTATTTGTGTTGTTTGATGAAAGAGACATACTATATAAATAATATTTATTCATAATATATGTATAATATATCTTTGGCATATTTTAAAAATTATATGTACAATGCATTATTTGTATTATTATAATATAAATTTATAATATAAATATTATTATTTCCAAGAATCATATATTTTATATATATAAAGTACAAAGATCAATAAAGTTTTGATAAACATTTTTGCATATCAATAATAAAATAAAAAGTTAAAGAATTACTTATTATATATTCTTAAATTATTTTATCATTGACAAAAGAACATTGATGATTGATACATGTTTAGTTTGAAATTATTGAAATTTTCCATTAGATTTATCTAAGAATTTTATTGTTTTAAATTCATGTTTTTTATATTTTAATAAGGAAAAAATCTTTTTTATAATATTTTTTATTTCTATTATATATAGTATAATATTTTTTATTTCTATATAAGTATTTATGAATTGTAGAAAAGAAAAATAATTTAAATTAAAAATAAATATTTTTCTGTTTAAAAAAAATTATAAATTTATAGAAAAATGTAAAAAAAATTTTAAAAAAAGGAAGAATATTTATTAAATTTTTTTCCAAAATATTTTTTAAAAATTATATAAATTTGTAATTTATTTGTGTTAAATGAATAAAATTCTTATTTAAATGTAAAAAAAAGAGATAAATATTCTTTACAAAAGAAAATTTTTTTTAACAAGTTTTTATATAAATTTATAATATTTGTAATATTTATATTTAAAAGAGATGATTTTTTTTTATAAATAACAAATATTTTCAAAAATTTATCATAAAAATTTGTAAGTTTTTCAAGACAATGAAATTTTTATTTAAATTCTTTTGTAAATCTTATTGTTTATCATTTAATCATCATTATTTTATCGTTTATCATTTAAATAAATAACTTATTTTTAATCAACTAAATTAAATTTAAAAATAATTAATTAATTAATTTATAAATTTAAAAAATATATATTAAATAAAAAATATATATCAAGTAAACAGTATCTAAAAAGAATTATTTTATTGTTTAAATTAAAAAAAAATTAGTATGAATCAAAGACTGCAAAATTCTTGATTTAATTGACATTTATATAAGATTTTATTAAAATTAACATGTATCAGATCCCAAAATTCTTTTGTTATATTGATTTCTTAAAATTTGAATTGTATGTCTGTCACAAAAATAACATAAATTTTTCAATCATATATTAAATATTCGTTTGTTTTAAATCAATTTTGTTCTTTTTTTTAAATATTATTTTTCAAATTCATAATTATCATTTTCTGCAATAAATTTTATCTAAATAAATATCTACAAGGAAAATAAATTTCTGAATGAATTAAAAGAATGGAGGAAATCATGTTATTGGCAAACGTTACAATAGCTTCTTTCGCATTCTTGCACAAAAATATCATTCCATGATGTTTCTGACGTCACAAATCAAAAATCGTATAGACGAACCGAGTCAGGGTGACTTATTTATAGAGAGAATCAGGATACGAATAGAGCTTACATAAATAGACATCCATTTAATGCAGGATTGCTTTTGATAGTTAAACTAATCGTAAATTAGCATTCCATTTGTCTTTTTCCATTATGTGGTCAATTATCTTCAATATTTTATTCGTAATGAACATCTTCTTTTGCTATAGAGGTTAGAAAAATGCTCATTATTTCCAGATAATTATGAATTCGAATTATGATTCGCAGAAACATAATCCAATTATATAAGTTCTTAACAAGTAACAATATGCCTTAATAATAAAATCGATAATAGTTAAATCAATCCTTGTAAAATTGTGATTTAATGCATGTTGTTGTTTCAATGAAGAAAATTTCTACTTATTTTTAATTATCTTTTTATCTTTTTTTATTAAACAAAGATTTTTTAAATTTCGGAATATTTTTATGTACAATAATATATATTTAATTGATTTTTGAACTCAATTATGTTTAGATTAACATAAGATTAATTGATTAATCGCAAATTTTTTATAAAAAAAAATTTATTTACTTTATATGTAAAAATATATTTAATCTGTCTTTGAGTAGAAATATCTATTGTTAATTTAATGATTGTTAATGATCGAATCAAATCGCAAGCATGCTATCGTTATATATAGCATTATCTTGGAAATATATTGAAAATTATCAATTTTTATGGTCGTGTCAAATTGTGTGTTTACAGATCATGTATCGAAAAAATCTACTGGTCACTTGTTGAAATTGCTGATACAATGATTCTATGTGCACACTATTTAAAGAATAATGCTTCTTCTTTGATTTCAAATCAGCTAGTGATACATAGAAATAATATAACATGATTTTGCACATGAATTAAAATATTGACGCTTACGCTTGATATTACGAATACGCGATATACTGATTTATTTAATTATTAAATATCTAAATAATGAATATATTTCTTTTTAATGAAACCAGTTGCAAATTTTAATACAAACGAACATCAGTTAATATATATATATATATGTATTATTATTCTTTCAATTATTTATAATAAAAATATGTAATTTTTTTATAGAATGTACAATAAAATATTGATAATCTGAATTTCAATTATTCAGATTGACTGATTATAGAAATACAAAATGAATTATATGTATGTATTTAAATAGCGTTCTTTTATATATATTTAACGTTTCATTTATCCTAGAATACTTAAAAACAATTAATTTTTTTTTATATTTTTATATATTTTTATATTTTATATTTTTATGTTTATTAAATATATATTTTTTTATGTAATAAACATCTATATTTGAAAATTGTTTAACTTTTAATTTTTTCATTGTTTTTAGATATTTTTTATCAATTAATTATGAAAAACCAAATGAATTTATTTCCAAATTAGATTTCCAAAATATATATATATATAATAACATTTGCTATATTAGTAGAAATTTTTAATTTCATTTAAATGAAATTGAAAAAAAAAATGTTTAAACATGTAAACAATTGCAATTTGTGAAATTTTTATTCTTCGCTAATTTTATTATATTATATGATTTCTACTTTATATTATTATTTACTTTATATATTATTATACTTATTTCTTCTATTTGGAAACTGAGAACAAGAGAGATTCTGTTCTATTTCGTATATATTGCTTATTGAGAATTTATTTCATTCTAAATAATCTCGAATGAAATTTGAATCCAAAACTATGTATCGGCTTTGAATCATGTCTTTTGATATTTTAGATTAATCATAATCGCTTAATAAAAAAAAGCAAGAGGAGAAAAGCAACTGTTTTTCCTTTGTTCATTGACAGCTATTATA